CAGCGGCTTCGCGTACTCTCCTTGAGGCAGGTGCCATTGGCTTATCTGCTTTCAGCACAACTCCGGTCTGGCCCGATAGTAAACCAGAGACCGAGATGGCCGGCTGAGGTGGTGCGGAATTAGTACCAGCCTTAGGAAAATTGGAAAGAGAAAATCGGCGCAAATGAAGTATTAAATATATTAATAAGAAAAAAAATTGCTTAATCAAAACTTGAAGGCAGGTTTCGTTCGTTCTGCCTTATTAATTTCAAAGGGCAAGATAAATTTTAAAGCTAGTGAAGCTTAAAAAAATTTTGTAGATCTTCGAAATCTAACAATCAGCATTATAAAGAAGATAGCATGTTCTCTATAGTAAATTTAATTATATATTTTTAACAGTATAATTTCATCAAAAAAACATAAATTATTAATTTAGATATATGAATAAAGGCATAAAGGTAAAACCAGAAAGATAGAGGGGTGACTGGGCCCATTTGGACAGAAAATAACGATCGATGAGGTCATATGGGTTATTATAAGCTGAGGCCAGTACGAAATAAAATGCTATGAACCTTTCTGACTAGAATTAATATTAAATATTTTTCTAAATATTATTCACAATTAATGATTAGTCCTCAAACTAGGCCTACAAATAAATCATTGAATATAGTAAATGTTTTTTAGGCAAAATCAGAAACAAAAAACTAAGTAAAACTATCCCAAATGCTACTTCGCTAGCTACGACAATTCTGCTTACCTTCGGGATCTCTTTTAGATTCCGCAACAAAGAGGAAAGAAGAAATAAGCTTCGTTGATACTCATATTCAAATATAAAAGAAAATTTTGGAATGAAATGACTATTTGGAATACTTTTATTAGACAAAACGCAAGAAATCTCTATATTGACAGATAATTAAGTAAGCTAAAGAGGAATAGAAGCGGAGTTTAGCAAATTTGCTGATACCCTTGTTTAATTGATTTAGAGTGAGTTTGAGAAGGGTCATTTAGGTAGATCCCATCGAAAAAAATAATTTGGTTGTGTGCTAACTATAAAATAAAGCAGTTGGATGATTCCTCTTTTCATTTTTGTATCTACATGTCGATCTTACATCCGTCAGATGGCATCAATCTTATAGTGGCCTATAAAATAACAGCAAACAATGAAGACCAGCCAAACAATCTCTCTCTCTTTCTAATCATAAAAGTCTAGGTTGAGCCTGGCAGAGTAGTGAAATGATTTGGATGAACTAAGCGTATACAAACGCATGATTATGAATAAACAATGTATTCAATAAGTAGAATAGAAGCGATATCGAGCCTAGGACACCAAAAGTTACTTTTACTATAAACATGAATAAGCCAGTTTCCCAAAAGGTAGTCAGCCTAGCCCCCCTAGTTTTAAATATTATTTCTATCTTGACACTCATTTACGAAAAAGATATCTATTGAGGAGAATGTCTGCTTTCTGTCTGCAGGTGGTAAGTCCGATCGGTAAGAGGTCAAAAATTTTAAAAATAAAAAATATTTTTGAAATAGATGGAGCGATGAAATTCATCATGAATGGAACTACAATAAATATTTAAAATGTAAATCTATCAATCAGACTGCCCTACAAATAAGGAATGAAGTAGAGATCCATACAATTATGGCTCAAAAACAAATATACAAGCCATAAGGAACAACACATAATGCAGATATAACCTCAGAAGCGAGAGCAAAACCGGGGCTTACAGATGATTTTGAACCCGAAATTCCAAGTTCGATCGTTTCAAGGACGGCTTTCAGAGACTCTCGATCAGCAAGAATTATACGGGATCGATGTACTAGCCACACCGAAAGACAGAAATAGGCGGCGACTATTACACTATGTAGCCAGCGCTTGTGATCCTTCCGTTCCCGGCTGCACTGACTTGCAATAAATTCACAGATGGAGCGCATAGCCCTTTTACCTGACAAAAAGGAAGAGTTATTACAAAGAGAGTAAACGCAAACGAATCTTTTGTGGTAAATAAAAAGTTAAAAAAGCCATTCATTACTTAGATCCAATATTTTATATATATATATATATATTATTTATTTATTTATTTATTTATGAGGTGAGAAAATTACAACTTTAATTTGAGAAGGAATAAAAGATTAGATGCGATTGAAGCCTTAAAAATTCACTTGTCACTAAATAGTCTCGAAACTCTGCTTATATATTAAAATAGAAAACCCATAACAAAGTAATAACCTGAAGTCAAGCTACTCACAATTACTCAAAAAGATAACTAGCCAAAGAAACAACAAAATAATTTATAAAGTATTAAGACCATGATGGTGTGGCCTTTTGTTACGAGAGTGAAAGGCGTAAGCTATTTAAGTTAATAGATCTCAAGTCAAGATTAAGAAAGGATTAAGGTAGAGTTCTCACTTTGGATGATTAAAAAAAAACTCCAGAGCATGACCGACCAGAAGTCACAGAGGGTCCAGGATCTGATAAATAAGCGGCATGACAAGAAATTGCCTAGCTATGGGATAATAAGATAGCGCAAGACCAAGCAAACCCGGCCAAATTTTGATGCTTTTCTATTTAAGGCATCAACCGCTACAGACGACAATAGGACAATAGTAGTAAACCTATCTTTAATCCCTATTGATTCTGAAACCACAATTTTCTTATTGAAGCGGTCACATTTTTCACTAGGTAGTGAAGCAAGTGTTCTTAGTAATATTCTGGTGAAAGTTATCAACATAAAAAATAAATATAAAGGGACAAGGCGGGAGATGGAACTGGAAATAATCCCACGGATCCTGACACATCAAGAACCGATACACAGGAGCGGATTGGCTGGTATTTGGGAAAACAAACATTACAATAGAATCGAAGGTATGAAGACCAAGATGGTTTGGCCATTTGTGTGAATGATCAAATAGTTCTTCAGGCGGATAAGAGAGAAGCGACGGTTATAATAGACAGGAAACAGTACACGGAGAAAACAGTAAGTATCCTTGCCGACCGGTACACTTATCAAATATCCAACCATGATGATCAACGGGACACAGTCGAATGACGCAAGACCACCGACAGCCTACGGACTATCGAAGATACACAAGAAAGGAAATAAGCTAAGACTAATAGTCAACAATAACATGGCGCAATGCACAAACTAGCGAAATTCATTTGCTTAAAGCTCAAGAAAGTAAATGACAGACTCTCGAATACCGTTAAGAATTCATATCAATTTTCTCAAAGGATCCAGAACATTAGGCTAGTGGGGTAGGAACTGTTGATGAGTTTCGATGTACAATCCATGTACACAAACATCTCAGGTGAGAAGGCAGTAAGCACCATGATGGAGATATTGGAGCGAGAAGAGGACATTGTGGAGGCAGAAAGGATAAGGAAAGGATCGTTAAGACGACTGATTAACCTGACAGTAAGGACCACATATTTATCATTTAACGGCAGTATCTACGAGCAAATATTTGGACTACCGATGAGATCTCCATTCTCACCTCTTTTGGCAAATGTGTACATGGACAAGTTGGGCAAATTCAACATTGACCCAAATCAAAGCAAGCAGTACCACAAGATTTGTGGGTTGGCACACAAGAGACTAGGGCATGGTAAGTCATGGACTTGGTATTGGAGATAGAAACAGGATAGACGCGGCGAAGACTGGAGCTAGTTGGCTGACAGTTTTACCAGAGACTTGGTCCATGTAGCAAAGGCCTGACCATGACACTTACTCAAAGGCTTTAGCCTCGAATTAGGCATCAAGACACAGGGTAGGGCGAATAACGCCTTTCAAACGAAATGAAAGGTGTGTTAGCATCAATCTACTAAGAATTTATTTGAAGCCCAGCTTCTCTTCATTTAAGGCAACAGGCAAAATGAGAAATTAGAGTACAGACACATTAGAAGCAAAGACTTAGCCACCCCAGGTCGAATAAGGTGATTTAAGCAATGGGAGTGAATTCTTCGTTTATAAGTAGGGCTTCGGGATTACCAGTAAATCAGTTATATGAGAATATTCACCCCACTTCGCTTAAGGTGATGAAGAACTGGTAGTTGAATTTTTACATTTTGAGTTGACACTTCCATTGAATTTCACATACCTTTGTTTTCTTAGTAATTGTGTCATCCAGGATGGACTGCAGTTTCTACCTCACCTAGGTCTAACCAACACCACCAGCGGGACTCTAACCGAAATAGTGCAGTGTGTAATATTGACACTTTGGCCACTACGCCACATTGCCACGAAGGTTTTTTGATCAGGGGGCAGATAGGCATTTCCAGGAAGGCCAGGAATTTTACAATATTACATTCTTTGGTGGGGTTGTCGATGAAGCAAAGTTATGTTTGATATAACGATCAATTACCTTACTTATTTTTCGTTTATAAGTAGGGTTTCGAGACTACAAGTAAATTAGTTAAATGAGATATATAGCAAACATACTTTGGAAATCACATCTGCCCTGTCACCCCAGAGCAATCGTGGTAATGTGGCGTAATGAGATTGCACGCTGCACCTTTATAATTCAAGTCCCGCTGGAGATGTTATTAAAGCCTAGGTGAGGTCGAGGCTGCAGTCCACCCTGAATAAAAACATCTCTTGGGAAGGCAAGACTATGCGAAATTCGGTGAAAGCATCAGTTTTACTCATCATTATGGAAAAAGTCAACTACCAGTCCTTCATCATATTAAAGGAATTTAAGTGAATACATCTCGTTTATTGCGAATTATTCACACAAGACTAAACTATAAGTCCTTAAATTACCTGTCGCGAGCAGGAGTGACTAAGCCCTCATTCAATAATTACTGATAGCCTTAAAAACAACTAATATCGAAAATGAGGGGCAGTTGCAGTTATAGCTATGGCAAATAATAAAGAAAAATCTTTATTAGGGGGACCTTCGTTTCGAATTAAAGTGCATGAAGAAGAGATTCCTAGGTCGATCTTACCAGATGAGGACGAATGAAACTCATTGTAT